ATGTTTTAGTTTTGCTCACAGTGACTGTCATCACCAGATACTAATGGTTTTCTGCTCTTCATCTTGATTCAGATGCATTTAGTGTGCTTATTCACTGACTGGGTGTGGGAATTATCCTTAATTGTCTCTTTCTCAACTTTAATGTGTTCAGAAGACACGTAATGTTCCAAACAAACCATTAGGTTTAGACACAACCTGTGAAACGCCATTTGAAAGACTTTATAATGCTGTTGTCTTCCATTAGCAAGGCAGTGACTAAGAAATAAAAGTCATAGTGGTGAAAACAAAGACATCAATGCTACGCTGTTTTACAATAAATAGACCCATGCGGTATATAAAATTACAGCTATCTAAACAGTTTGACTTCTGGTTTTCACGTCTAAAGAATATTGCTCTGATTCTCTGTGTCACAACTATTTCCAAAAAAAAAAAAAAAGTCCTGCTATCACTTTGTTGTTGTTGTTATTTATTGTCTGTGACACTCAGTCATTTGTTTTCCACCTAAAGCCTGTATATTTTGTGAACCACAACAGAGTAAAGTGATATAAATCAAATGTTTCAGGTGCTAAACTTGCATGATTCTAAAAAATCAAAGCACTGTTGTTAGTAAAGATTAAAAGTGGTAAAATTGAAAAGCAGATTACAAGTGCTTCCACAAAAGTTATACAGGCAAGTAAGCAACGGGTCCTCTTTCATGAACATTAACAGCCTCAAGTTCAACTTTTGTATGCAAAATCAGTGATTTTTAAAGTTTTAAGATTTCAGCTCTGGTTTGGTCACACCTATCATTATGTTAACAGCAATTGCAGCATAAGGGCCTGGTAAAATCAAAAAGTGATGTATCAAAATGAATCAGCACAAGTAACCTGGTGATGCGAAAGCTTGCAGGGTTAGTGGATGAATTGCTGTAGCTGGTGAGCTAACCCAAAACTTGCTCATTGGCTAGGATAGCAGTTTTCCATTTGTCTTCATCTGTGTACAACTTTGTGTACTGTCTGTTCCATCTAAGAGAATGCCCTTGGTTTCTTAGTGATTGTTTCTATATCTTTTGTATTGTTGTTACACAAATTGTAGCTAGCACTCCCTTGTCTGTTTTAAATGTACTACTGCTTAGGATTGCAACAGTGGAGATACCAGAACATGGTAACTAACAACAAACACTCACGCTCTTACACTCATATATCCCCTACCGTGATTTGTCATTTTCCTCCCCCACACTAATGAAAGGCCCTCATGATGACATCTTCCATTACAAATCATTTTATTGAACTGCTTTTTTCTTTCTCTGACAGCCTGAAATTATATCAGCATGCTCTGAGAAGTCAATCCGCGCTGCCAGCCACACTTTCAAGCCCGTCACAAGCTTTTAAATAAAGCCGTCAGGAATAAAATGGAGGTCTGAGCTCTGGCATACTGACATTGACAACTTTGGAACAAAAGCTTCTGGAAGACCCTTTAAAGATCGTGAAAGATTCCACGTGTTAAATATTTACTTTAATATACCCTTTTCAGATTACTGTTGTAATTTGTAGTTGAAGTTAGTGTCCAGGAGTAATCTGGTTAGCAACCCCATTCACAGAAGAAATCTGTTGTACTATTTAAGTGTAGTTGACAAAGAACTTTAAAACTGGTTTAGAGGCATTTTGTTGAATTTTTTTTTTTTTTTTTTTAGATTTTGGCCAAAATACAAGACTAAATAAGAAAATTTTCAGGGAAACTCATCTTGCATAGCAGAACTGTTTACAATTGGTTAGTGCTCATGCCTCATAAAATTAAGGACACATTTCCCATAAACCATGCTGCACCCAATCTTCCCTCCAAACTTGCTGGCATCTCTCCACATGCATTTGTTTTTAAGAGCAAGAGAGAGGGCGAGAGCTCGCAACAGAACTGAGAAATTTTCATCAGCCATGTGTTCATCTCACCATCTGCCATTGCGAGAAAACATTAGCTCCTTCTGTGCTAGAAGATTAGTGGCTTCCTCCATCTCTTCCTCCTCCTCTTTTAAAATTTTTGTGCCACAAAGCAATCCAGCAGACTTCCTGTGAAATCTTAACCCTGTAGAGCACGAAATGGAGCAGAAAGGCCAGTTGAAGCTGCCAGTCATCTTGGAGGTGGTCTCTTTATTTATAGTAATTATGGTAATTTATCAACATTACTGGTGCTAATGTTTGTCGATGTTAAAATACTGCACAGGGAGCCTTAAATATTTATACCTGCTTCAATAACACTGCATTCAAGATGTCTTGTAAAAGCTGCAGGTATGTGATGTGCAAAAGATTTGCACTAAATAAAAGTAGTCATGCCTTGCAATGGAGGGCAAAGGTCACCAAACCTGAAGGTGAAGAGGTATCTACTGTACAGTACATACTGGTATGTCATACCAATGTTTTAGTCGAGACCCTAAATCTCAAGTCCCCAGTATTCTGGTTCGAGTCATGTCCGGTTCACCAAAGAATAATTTAAGTCAAGTCCTCATTACCTGAGTCTGAGTCAGGGTCTACTGTACATTAAACACAACTGACCATAGTTCTTATCATTTTAAAAGGAGTTTACTTACCATGTGTGACACAATAGCCAAACCAATGCACTCGCAAGCACAGAGACACGCTACTTAGTAATGAGGAGTGTGTTCTTTGATGGAAGCGTGCCTGATAACGACATAGCGCTAGCAAATGGGTTTTAATATCAATATCTTATGGCAAATTAGTATGGCCTATTACAAAAACAAAAGTCAATCTACAACTTTTGAGTCCAAGTGCTCAAGTTCAAGTTGAGTTATGAGTTTTGAAAATCAGGACTTGACTCTGAGGTCTGGATTGGATTACCACTACAATGCCCATGACTGTGACTAAGCTTGTCCCTTACTCTAGCTTGTCGGTGGCCATTCTTACATGTAGTCTATGTTCTGTGTGAAGCTCCTGTTAGCTTGTCATACGTCTGCCTTTATATATCCCCGTGATCCTTATCACCTGTATAGTAGTACTTTCATGAGCCACCATATTATCTGTGTTGTTGTACTTACACCTGAGCCAGCCATCATGCCTACTTACCTGTGCTCCTGTTGTTTGTCTCAGTACTAGCCATTACACTTACGTGTCCTCGCCTGCTCCCGTTGTTCCTTTATCACTTACTGTACTAGTGCCTTTCCCTGTGTTCTGGTTACCACTGTTAGCCATCACACCCTGTGCCCCTGTTTACCCATCCCTGTACCATTATCCTCAACAACTGGGTCCCCATATTATGTAAAATGTGACAGATTTGTCGCACATCATTTCTAGTTACTGTAGTATATACTAAATTCCAGTCCATTGTTGTTGCTATCCTGTAGAGGGTTGTTTACTGGGTGTCATTATTTATAAGGTTAACTAACAGTATGGTTTATTTTGACTTCCAGTCTCTCTGTGAAAAAGGGTTTCCATTTAATTTGTCCACATTACAAATATCCTAAAAATTCAAACAGCCCCTAGTCTCCGTCTTTTTCTACCCGCGTACTATCCTGAGGCTCTGTGTGTTTTTATTATTGGATGAAATAACCAGCTGTAGTATTTGGTTGCTGTAAAAACTTGCATGCACATGAAACAACACATTCTGGTCTAATTTGGTAGCCAGACATTCATTAACAAGGTTTCTGGTTTGATCCTTGATGCTGGCAGACTTTTATTAAAGGTATTAATTTTACTATCTGTCATCTGTGTGACTGTGTCCTTGAACAAATACATACCTGTATTCCACGGCTACAAGGAAGACACTGACTGTGGAGATGTTTCAACAAAAATGAGAGTTTTTGTCTTATTCTCTTGCTACCCTGTCCACACACAGTTCTAATTATCACACGGGTGTGATATCGCTTCTGACTGGCTTCTTGGTCTAAAGTTCATGGAGAATTGGAGAGCCAAAACACTAGAAGATGCAGCTGAGTGTTTGCCATGGAAACAAGGCTCATATCGTTGTCTTGCCTGCTATTATGCTACAAAATAGCCTACAGAATGCTGTCTGCAGTGACAGAGAATTTCTGAATTTCTCTCAATGGCAGCATCTCCATGTCCTTGAGGCAGATCGGTATTAAAATGTTCCGGGAAAGGCAGAAAACATGCGTCACAGCCCTTCATCCAATCAGGTGAAGTCATGATTTTTTTTCTTTTCCCCAATTAATTTGTTTTGAGAGGGCCAGTGTCTTCAGTGAAGTTATTGTGGGCTTTCCTATTTCTATTTTCTATAAGAACATCCACATCATGGCGAGGATTAATACTTTTAATACCTCACTGATTTGTGGCCAAATCAAAAGGCCCCAGCTGGGTAATCAATCACTTCTGTGTCATGCTGCACTCAAAACATAGGAGTAGTGGAACTATACCCTGGATCCTGGTGAGGATTAACTGTTGAAACTGAATGGGCTCACGTTTAAAGCTTGATAGGTCACGGCAAAAAACTAAACTATTAATAGTTATGTTGTTTATTCAGTATATGTGACTGACAGATATACTTATGTTTGTATTTCACAGCATGGACTGTAATAAGAAATCTGGCCCCTGAACACATATGAAAGGTCCCCCACCTCTTTAGCACAGGAGCAGACACCCAGACTGAATGAGCATCTGTTTATGGTTGTTTTGCATCTGGCTTGTAGTCATTTTATTTCTCTCTGTTGTCGTTTTGCATGCCTTTTGTAGTGGTTTTGCATCGCGTTTGTGGTCATTTTACACATTTTTTTATCATATCTTTGTAGTAGTTTGGCTTTCCAAGAAGAAATGTTCAGTCCCTTCATCCCACGATTCGCTTCAGAAATCTCCCTATCACAGCAATCTTGTCAAGCTTTAATTAAAGCAGCGCTCAGTACTGAGACCGAAATGGCTGTTTAGGTGTTTGCAGATCAAATGCTGCTGTAGATTTAAGCTGAGGTTTTGCGTCTCGCTCATGCCCTGAGGCCATTGCTCGGTCTCTGTCTGTGGTGCTGAAAGTAAACAGGTCTGCCAGTTACAGTGGCCACCACACCATAGCTCACTTCCATGGGAATACAGTTGGTTTTGTAGGCTAAACTGTCACAGTACATCTTGACTGGCATGGCGTGTTGGATTTCTGTGGAACACATGCAGGAATTCAGATGTTAAACTTTTGGCTAAACGTGAGTCACACGCTCATATCATCGGCCTACTCAGCGCCTTACAAATGGCACCCAGCAGGGAACCGGACCTTCTGGAGCGTCTGAGAGTCGCAAGCGCACACGTCAGAGTTTTATGAATAGTTCAAGTCCCAGACATGCGAAGAGATGTAAGATTATATTTCCTCTCATTTCATCATCTCAGTGTTGAGACTTCTGTAAGACCCCCTTCTCTTCCAGCTGTGTCCCTACATTTGTAGACTAAACTGTTGCCTCTGTCTGACGAGGTGCCATAGCGTAGGAACTGACACCATCTTCGACCTCCTCTTCCTCCACCACATCGAGGTGCCGCAGCAGCAGCAGCAGCAGCAGCCAACGCGGTGAGTGCGTCCTGCAGCTGCAGCAGTACCGACACCTGTCGTTTTAAAGACGTGCTGATAACCATCTTAGGAGTAAAACAAGGTATTCAGTGAAACAATTCACGACAAAACACAACGGGGATCCATCGATATCGATGGCTTCACGTGTAGATATTTGCGACTCTGAAAATTACGCATCGGTAAGTTCCTCTTGACTTGTTTTCCACGCCGATTTCTGCGCGGTTTTACTAAAATCTTTAGCTTTCGCTGCGGCTAATCAGTTATGAAGCCTTTCGCTGAACGCTGCATGGCCAAGAAGTCCTATTTTTCTTAAATGACAGTAGGATGAATTTCGAGTGAGAGTATGCTTTACCATTGATTAAGCTGATGATTTCCATCTGCAAAGCGAAGGTCACCCATGTGCACCGATGAATTAAACATTTGTGAATGCAGGAATAATGGGAAAAGGCAGTGCAAAAATTAACCTATTGATTCTGCAGCACCAAGGGAAAGATCATTTGTCACTGATTGGTTGTTGTTTGTCTTCTCTCCATACAAACCACTTGGCATTTTGAAAGCTGATATTTAAATGACTATATACTACATGGTTATGACACAGAACGAATTGTTTTAGATGGCTGTTAGTGCGCGCTGACAGACATGCAATCCACTACAGGCATTAAAAGACTTGTATTTGGGTTAACTGGAAGCGTGCTCGTGTCTTACGGGGATCATTTTGAACTGAGAACAAATTAATGCGCCACGATGTTCAGATGTTCAGCACACATGAGGAGGAAACTGATATGTGGAGACAGATCTGTGACAATGGAGGAAAATCATTAAAGCTGGTGCTCAGACTTAAAGACGTCTCCATTTTTTCTGTTTGTTCTTCTGCATCTCTAGACACACATTTGCACACACATACAATTTTGCGGCTGATTGACAACCTAGTGCTAATTTTAGTGCATGTTTCCCAGTCTTCCTATCACAGGTCGATTCTGCTTTATGTGTGTGTGTGTGTGTGTGTGTGTGTGTGTGTGTGTGTGTGTGTGTGTGTGTGTGTGTGTGTGTGTGTGTGTGCGTTTTGTGTGTACGTGCGTTTTTTCCTTTTTTTTGTCAGTTGTATCTAACAGCTGATTATAGTGACTGAAAACAGATCCATGTTGTGTCTTGCCTTATGTTCTCCTGGAGTTCTTTTATAAAACAGGTGGAACACCATTTGAATCTCTGAGGATTCAGGTTTCCAAGTGACTCACATGTATCCAGTGCTGAGCAAAGCAATGATGCTCTTGTTTTCGTGCTGTCAGGGCAGTTTGATGGTCAGCCCTTCTGCTGTTTCCTGCACCAGAGCTTTGTCAATACCAAAGTCACAGTGATTTGTTCCAAATACCAGAGGCTGGGTTTTTAACTGGATTTGCAGCCTCCAGCAACATGGCTGTTGTGATATTTTGGGCTAAAGAGATGAAGAGCAATAGTGCTAATTAATGTCATGTTCGATTGTGTCAGTTTAAATGTTAATCCTGACTGTGTGGTTTTTGCCCTATACCACATGTTTTGTACTGCCTTATATCTCTGGGATTCTCCTCTGAGCATGGTCCATCCTATTACTTGATAAAGCATCTGAGAGATGCTTTGGAAATAATTGGATTCAGTACTAGCAGGAACAGATACAGAGCGGAATTTGTCTGTGTGTATGAATTAACTTGTGTGTCTCTGCTGGTGCTGGCCAGTGTGTGCTTTGTGTTTGCAGTGAATCATTGTGTTTTCACAAAGCTCTGTGGTTGAATAAGACAGGAAGTGAGGTGAGTTGGGGAGGCTGTTTTGAAGTCTGACTCATGGCGCGTACGTTGTCTTGTCTTAAAGGAAATCTGATTCTTCAAGATATCTTGCCTTTAGAATCTGTTTGTCCTTCATAAACCCATACTTTTGTTTCAAGTTTCTGCTTTAGTTTGGAGTTTGCAGATGTTACAAACAACAAAATTTCCTCTGTGATTTGAAGGTTTATGAGTGCACCAGGGGCATGGATATGAAATGATACAGACCCACTGAAGGGCAGTACAATGAGAGTAGAGCTGATGTCAGCAGACATCAGGGCTTTATAGTTTGTAACGTTAATAAAACATTTTTTTATACAATAATACGTTTGATTGGAAATGATGCAGAAATAATTTGTTTTGTAGGGCTCTGGTGTTTTTTTTAATTACCAATTAATCTTTCCTTTTATCCATAAGTTGTTTCATCTATAAAATGTCAGAAAATAGTGAAAATTGTTCTACGGACAAGAGCTTCTACTAGAAATAAAGGAGCATCTCAGAAAAGTACCTATTTTAACTACATTTATTCAATATTAAATTTTCCAAGACACATAATTATAATGTTTTACATATTAATATCATACTATATCACAACATACATCTACCTAAAGTTTTATTTAGTATGGTTCTTACAAATAGAACAACACAGTAAAACAGCGTGGCCTAACTGATGCTATTGTGGTGTTGTTGGTTCTCATTCTTTTCCTTCTGCTTGTTGTATTTCAGAGCCTTTGATGGTGAAGTGTTGTAGCAGTGAGGGGAGCGATTTCAGTGCATCCCTCTGAACAGACATACACACACACGCACATTGTGGAGCCTTTTGAATATAAGCTCTTCACAGGAGACAATGAGAGGCTACCTGCTGACTGCAGTCTTTCTGCTGCCCTTGGTGAGTAGTTTCTGCGGATGCATCAGTGTATTGTGCACATGTGTGGGTGTGTATGTGTGGAATGAATATACAGGAATGCATATATCTATATATTGTGCAAGGGTGTGGGTGTGTTTACATGTCCTTATCACTGACCTCCACTTTCGCTGCTCTAGCTTTGGTTAGGAAGGAAGGAAATCTCCATAAGCCATATCAGCATATGTTTACAGGTCCTGGTGTTAGTGCTACCGGCTGCCTGGCTGACCAGAGAGGTGTCTATCCATCTGCTCTAACTCTCTTTTATTAGCAGTCTCATTGAAATGTAACGCAGAATGGAAGAGTTGTGCAAGATGTGTGGGAGGAATTATATTCAGTGCATTGATTCAGCCCAGCAGCAGTTTCCTTCGTGAAGCCACACAGATACATGAGCAGTTTTGGTTTATATGCAGGTCCATATTCCTCTTGTAACTCTGATATTGATAATTTCTTTATGCTTTCATTATGGCCAGCAAAAACAGTAAAAGTACCAGTTAATGATGTTACTAAAGATACTAAAATAATTTCATGGTGTGACTTTGCAGCCACAAACATGTTCTCTAACTGTTCCTAATGTGACGTATTCCTTCAGCAGACATCTTTGCACAGTACAGTCTCAAGCTGACCTTCAGTAGCTGATGTCGCAGATACGCCTGTTGTAATATACTTATTGTGAGTCAAATGGATTCGTACCAGTGGTCTGTGGCATCAAATGGGAGTTTTATTATCTGTGGTGCTGTGGGAGCTGCTGAGTTATCTGGTCCCAGAGAATAGCCTTGGGGAGGGAACAGGAATCTGTGGCTTTAAAATAAACAGTTTATCTGGACAGACATCTGTTTCAGAGAGAAATTGGGAGCAGAAAATGTATTGATCTTTTCTCTGCCATATGTGGTGTTGTCATGTTTCCTGTTTTAGAGCTCTTTCAGCCCTGAGCAGTTCTCAGTGAACCTTGATTGGGCTACACCAGTTCTTCATCAGTCCATTCCTAAGTTTGTATGTAAAGCCCTACTGACATTCATAGTTTCTAATGACTTGTTTCAAACCACTGCACCGTTAAAATCTAGGGTATGTCTTAGTAAAGATCTTAGTAATGTGTAAAATGTTTCCTTTAGCATCTGTAACATCATCAAATCCAAAAGCAAACAGGAAGTGAAGTTGTAACAACTAAAATGCTTTTTTTGTTTTTATTTTGCTACTGCTAAAAATACCTGTTTTAGGAGGTAAAATAAAATGATAAAGGACTTGCACAACTACTGAACATTTTTGACCAGTAGTGGAAGAAGTACTCTGGTCCTTTACTTAAGTAAAAGTAGCAATACAACAGTGTAAAAAAATGCTCTAAATAAAAGTCCTGCATTCAAAAGGTTGCTTAGGTACAAAAATGCTTCAACTACTAAAAGTTCAAATTTAGTGATTACTGTATTTTGGTAATGAGTCTGATTTTGACAAGCCACTAACTAAAGTGAAGTCAGAGTATGAAATAGCAGAAAATGACATATGCACGTAAAGTACAGATACCTCAAAATTGTAAGTACAGTACTTGAGTAAATGTACTTTAGGTTACTTTTCACAGCTGCAATCGACTTCTCTTCAGGCTGAATGTGGGCAGAGCCTTGCTGAAATTACATGGAGTCACTACAACTAAATTACCAGTAAAAATACTACAGTGTGATTATCCCTACCACCACCTTAACATGCACAAAAAAGAACTACTAAAGAAGGATCCATAATATTTGTACAGTTTACAATGACACGATTAGATTATGCTAAGCTAACTGCTGCTATGTAGCCTGACATTATTAGAAAAATATTTTGTAATCTGAGGTACAAAGTATTGTATTAGTTTGTCAATTTAATACTAATAGTTTGTATATTTATTACACAGTGTTTTAACCAGTGTTAATTTTAGGTCAGATATGTTGATCATATTTCATATAGTGTTTTTAACTCCTGGATCTAAAAGCTTGTCAGTGGGTTCAGTTAATGCAGCAGTTACACCTTCCTGGGTGTAAATGTTTACACTTCTCTATAAAAACTACTTTGTGTGGTGCAACTCGGTGGTGTGTAAATCTTCACTTGGCAGACACCTACAGTATGTTATAACTCAGATACATTTTGAAGATCTGGTGCAACCTGCTCCAGAGGATTTAGTCTCTACGGTTTGTGTGTGTGTGTGTGTGTGTGTGTGTGTGTGTGTGTGTGTGTGTGTGCACAATGGTTTAGACACCCAACCCCA